TTTTTCACGATTTTCTTTTTAAATAAAAAATAAATAATGAAATAAAAATAAAACCACATCATGTGTCCATTTGCCTTTTAAGAAATAATTTTATAAAAAAATATTTAAATAATTTGATTTAAATTTTTTAAATAATTGGATTTATCTATGAAACTGAAACAAATTACCAAATATCATTCTTTTAAACTGATAATTTTTTCTTATGGTGAAAACTGTCGCTTCAAATCATTTCTTCCACCTTACAGCTACACAACTCGCGTTTAATTCTCTAATTATTCTGCAGGTGTGGTTAACTCATCCAGTAGCATACCGTAAATTCTTGAGGGATTTTCAGTCCGCCAAATATCCAAATAGGGAAAAAAATGTGGGGAAAAATCTGAATGAAAATCGAGTGACGCTCTCTGCTTTAAATTCTGAACGAAAATGATCCGTGGTCTCTTAAAAATTCATTTATTATTTGGTTTCGTAATTATTTATTTACTGAAATTTTTTAAACTCTTGATGGGAGAAAAATGGAACTTTTTTTAAATTCCTACTATGAGTTCCCACTCTCCCTATATATATCTTGTTCAAAGTTTCAATCGTTCATAAAAAATCTTTTCATTCATCCACTCGAGTTCAATTACATTTTTTTGAACTTGTAGTGGATGACACTGGATGTTAATACAGTTTTTTTCAAATATTAATTCATTCATTACATTTAATTATTTCATTTTAGTTTTTTTTTTATTTAAGTTGCATGTATCTACCAATAGATGGCGCTAGAAGTAAGAGGAAAATTTCAACTTTATTTGTAAAGGACTTTTCTGCAATAGAGTGAAAAAAAAAGTAGGAATTGACTTAATTTTTTTTTTTTTTTTTTTTTTTATATTTCTTGTTTCAGATTATCAAGAATGCATATGTAATAAGGATTATAATCACAATTTTTAATGAACTCTAACAAAATAATCACAATTAAACAAATCAAACAACCAAAAAATTATTTATGTTTATTTATCGCACTGACAATAGTCAATATTTCATTTAATTTTTAAACCTGACTCTTTTAATGAAAAAGCACAAAACCTTGTTGTTGTGACTCATCCTTAGTATCCTATAGCTCGGTACGGACACCCCATGAGTAGTCTACTCAGGGAAGGAGGGAAAGGGGACGGTTTCTGTTGTTGTGATGGACCTACCGTAGGTAGAAGGTATGTAGGTAAACCTCCGTAGGTAGAAGTCTGACTTGGCTTCGTGTCGCTGAAGAAGGAGGGCAGTGCCTTCCGGGAGGACTTTTAGAGGGAACTACCCCGCATGTGCATATCGTATGGGAGAACATCCCGTAAAAATCACACCAGGGCAGTGCTACTCACGAGGCACGAGGCTGAACATCCCAAACGCCATCGAATATCTTCGTTTTTGAAACAGCGGATGGAACCTCAGCCCTTACGCTCACCAGCGGCGTGCGTTGCCCCTCAGCCATGAGTCCGGCCGCATAGAACGTATTATTCACAATATAATGCATCATATTTAAATGAACATTTAATTGCATCATGATTACTTAATAAGCTGCACACATTATTCAAAGATAATGTTTGTCCGAGTCGTTGCCCAGTGGTAACGTGTACAACATTATAGTATCCAGACTCAAATCCTCCAATAACATTCGTTACAGACTCATAAACAAGATGACTCGATGTTGCAATGTGTGTAAAGCGCCTCGTATCGGCTTCTCATTGGCTCACCTATCACACGAGTAGTTAAGCCAAACAGCCTTCTCTGAAACAGCATCTTCCACAATGCATGGGTGGTCTATTGAATGTAACACGAGTCCAGTCGACGTTCAGCAGCAACAAATAAAGGATAAAGCGCGCTAATCCTTCAGGAGGGCAAAAGAGTGTACTACTGCGCCCAAAAACTAAGACCAATTATTTTTTTCTTTAAAAACGCAGTATTTATTCTTATAAATTTATTTCATCGCCTTTTGCAAAGTAATCCCCGGACACACAATGCCCTTATGCCGACTTTTTTTGCAATCATCAATGCATGCTAAAAGGTATCGACAGGGATTCTCGTTGAATCTTCTCTCAATCAACTCAAAACGGTGTCCCCGGAGTGGTCTTTTGAGTTTAGGGAATAGCCAGATATCGCACGGTGGTTGTGGAACGATATTTTTGGCGAAACAGTCACGAAGAATCAATGCAGTGTGAGCTGGCGCATTCAGGCCTTTTAGCCATCATTGCCTTTCTGGTTTTTCTAGCCATCGAGATTCGAGGCTTTTGAGGCCCAAAATGGAATTGAACCATCCTTTTTGAACTTCCAACAATCATGAGCAAAGTCGTAAATTGTAAATCGACGGTGCAAGCACCCAATCTTTAATTTTTGGACGTGAGCTACGTCGGTTAAAGTTGAGGGACAACCAGAGGGCTCGTCGTCTTCAACGTGTTCTCTGCCTTCTTTGAACTGTTTTTACCACTTGCAAACATTTCTTTCCGATAGAGGAATGCTCAACGAATGCCTTCTGCAACATTCTATACGTTTCCGCAAAGAAAACTGAATGCAAGTTCTTTGCTCAATGAATTCAGACATTTCAAAAATCGCCGGAATCTAGTTTTAGCGTCTCACAAAGCCAAGCGTCACTCAAACATTCATGAATATTTTGACGTCAAATTTCACACAGATGTCAAGGACAGTGCAACCTAAAGAAGGAAAAAAAAAAAAATTGAAATTCCATAAGCCCCTGGAATTTTAAATTGAAAATGGGTCTTATTTTTTGGACACAGTAGTATATCAGATTATTCTTATAACATTATCGATTACTGTTCTTATGATCCCCAGCATGCACGAGTGGTGTTTCAAATGAAATGATCGGTCGTTTATGACATGCTATTCATGAAGTCTATCCCCCTCTTTAATTGAAGTTGATTACTTTGAAAATAAAACACGGAGTTTATCCTTAAAAGTCCCTCCACTGAAAAACAGTTTGGGACTGAGAGAACCGTTTGAGAGTGCTCGTCTTTGGATTTATATGGAGTTTACGAAAATAGCCAATTGCTTTTCATGGCCGTCGTCTCTCCTAATTGATTGTGAAAGCATTCGGCTGATTTATGGAAGCACGACTGATAAGCGATACTTTTGGCGGATAAGTTTTCAAGTTTGGCGCACTATTCTCTCTTTTCTCAACTACTTTCTCGGAATCGTCCTTAAAATATTCTGTGATGGTTGAAATATTAAACAAACTTCATGTCTTTTTAGGTATTTTTCAATTCCTTCTATTAGTTCACACCTTATATCTTGCTCAAATTTTCAATCTTTCATAAAATGTTTCTTATTCATACACTCAAGTTCAAATACATCTTTTTGAAACTTGTAGTGGATGACTACGTGATGTCAATACAGTTTTTTTTCAAATATTAATTCCTTCATTAAGCTTAATTAATTTATTTTAGTTATTTTTAGATTTAAGTTGCATGTATCAAATAATAGATGGCGCCAGATAAATTTAGAAAAAAATGAATGAATGAAAATTATTTATAAAGGACTTTCTGCAGTGGAAAAAAAAAAAATTGGCATTGACTTTAATTTTTTTTTATATTACTTGTTACGTTTTGATCAAGGGTCCTGAATGCCATGGTGGACAACGCGATGCATTCCTGATCGGTTCGAAATCTGACACGCGAAAGTCACTACTGTGTCCAAAAAGTAAGATCAGTTTTCAATTTAAAATTCCCGGGGCTTATGGAATTTCAATTTTTCTCTCTTTTTAGGTTGCGGGCACTGTCCTTGACATCTGTGTGAAATGTGACGTCAAAATATTCATTAGTGCTTGATTTACGCTTGGCGTTGTGAATGTCTGCACTTGGCTTTGGAAACGTATATAATGTTGCAGAAGGCATTCGGTGAGCATTCTTATATCGGAAAGAAATGTTTACAAGTGGTATAAACAGTTCAAAGAGAAAGCGTTGAAGACAAATAGCCCTCTGGACGACCCTCCACCTCAACCGACGAAGATCACGGCCAAAAAACGAAAGATTGGGTGCAAAGAAAAAGGTGGGAAAGATTTACAATCAGAGACCTTCGGAAGATATTGGAATTCAAAAGGATCGGTCAATTACATTTTGGGCCTCTAACGCGTCAAATCTCGATGGGTACGCAGCATTGATTCTTCGTGATTTTTCGCCAAAAATGAAACCCATATCGTTCCACAACCACCGTATTCACACCGTGCGACTTCTAGCTATTCCCTAAGCTCAAAAGACCACCTGGGGACACCTTTTGAGACGATTGAATCGGATTCAACGTGAATCACCGCGTGCTTTGAAGGTCTTCCTGTCGATGATTTTTTAGCATGCATTGAGGATTGGGAAAAAAAGTTGACATAAGTGCATTGTGTCCGGAGGACATGACTTTGAAGGCGATGAAATAAATTTGAAGAATAAATAAAGAGTTTTTGAAAAAAAAAATTATTGGTCTTACTATTCGGGCACAGTAGTATATTTCGATCTTTGTCGACAAAAGCGCAGATAAAAGTTTAATCGTAACACTATTTAAATGAAAATTCCCGACTACTCACTTAAAATAAAAAAAAATATTTAAAGAAAATTAATAAACTTTTAACTTAGAAGTCCTTGACTGGCCTTCACATTTAAATATCAGAGGTTAAAATATGGTGAATCATTGCTGTAAGATTTTTTTTTTTTTTTTTTTTTTTTGCAAAAAATTTATTAATTCAATGGAATTAGAGATTGTTTAGAATTTCTTTTTAATACGCTTTTATTAGTTTCACCTGCATGTTTGTTTGCTTGTAACTGACTCTTTGGGCTCGTTTTTTGCCCTACTTTAAGCTATCCGATTTAATTTAAACGTTGTAGACTTATCAAGGACCGACGACACTAAAATATTCTGATAAGTTTATTATCTCATCATGATTAGGATCGTCAGGATGAGTGATTTTATTTGAACTTATGAAGAGCAATTTAGCCCATGTAGAATGAAAGTACCTAAGACATTCAAACCTCCGTGGGACAGTGGCACAACGGATAATGCGTTTGACTACGGATCAAGAAATTCAATGTTCGAATCCTGGCTGGCTCGACCTATTTGCATCTAGCCTTTGTTTTACTCAGAATTAAATTATTGTGAAAACTATAGTTCCAGTTCTCTGTACCGGGACTTCATTTAAATATTATAGTTTAAAAACACTCTTTTAGAGTTAATCAAACTAAAAAATAATTGTTAACATAAGAATAAAATTACTGACGAGAAAATGAATGTCACTGTTCTGAAAGCGTGTGGTGCTTTGTATGACATTTTTAAACTAACATTTCGGAATGAAACTAGTGAAAAATTACAACGATTGATATCGAGCACCCCTCGCTTTCAGAACAGTGACATTCATTTTCTCGTCAGCCATTTTATTCTTGTTAACAATTATTTTTTATTTTTTAGTTTGATTAACTCTAAAAGCGTGTTTTTAAACTATAATTTATTTTCCCCTCAGAACTTCAGAGCCTTCAAAAACTTTATTAATTCAAAGGAATTAGAGATTGTCCAGAATTTTCTCTTTGATACTGGAGGAGTCTCGATTTAGAGTTCTTGGCAACCCTAAAGGAGAGGCGAGCCATTCCAAACGGACTAATAAGTTGCTGAACAATTTAGGTCACTGACGGAGAAGGCATTTTCCATTGCCTGTTAAAGCAGCCCATGCCCTGCAGATGCATTTAATGGATTTTTCAATTTCGAAAATTATCTACCACAAAGAGACAAAGAAATGCTCTTTTACACTTTTGAATTTATTGAGCGTCTTAGCCAATAAATAACTGAGGAATGCTTTTCGCCTTTTAGAATGAATGCTCTTTCAGAAAAACACATTAAATGTGCATTGAGTTGAAGTGATAAGATTAACAAGTTTTTTTTTTTTTTTCTCTTAAACGGTAATCGAGTTTTAAAAAGCTCCTTTCATTACTGTAGAAAATATTAGTGTTAAATGTTTACTGACTGCAATGATGCGGGATATTTGTCATAAACAAATAATATAACAAGTAATATAAAATTTTTTTTTTTAAAGTCAATTCCTACTTTTTTTTTTTCACTCTATTGCAGAAAGTCTTTTATAAATAATTTTCATTCATTTTTTTTTAAGTTTATCTGGCGCCATCTATTGATAGCTATATGCAACTTAAATCTAAAAAAACTAAAATTAATGAATTAAATTGAATGAATAAATGGATATTTGAAAAACTGTATTAGCATCCAGTGTCATCCACTACAAGTTAAAAAAAAAAAAAAAAAAATGTACTTGAACTTGAGTGGAGGAATAAAAAGTATTTTATGAACGATTGATCATTTGAACCAGATATATAGAGGGAGAGTGTGAACTAATAGAAAATTGCAAAAAATTTATCTTTAAGTCAATTCCTACTTAGGTCAACAAAGAAAATTTTTATTTTATTTACTTTTTATTAAATAATTATTACAATTTATATAAATATGTATATACACACGACAGAATCACACTATAAAGTGGCGAAATAGAAAGCAAACTTCCTTGCAATTTCCTTTCTTGTATATAGGGTGTTGGATTATTATTTTTGTTTGTTACTATTTATTCGCTTTCTAATTAAATTTAATGAATGAATTAATATTTGAAAAATCTGTATTAGCATCCAGTGTCATCCACTACAAGTTCAAAAGAAAATGTATTAAAATGTATGTAAATGGATGAATAAAAAGTATTTTATGAACGATTGAAAATTTGAACAAGATATATAGAGGGAGAGTGTGATGTAATAGAAGGAATTGAACAAAATATTAGTGTTAAATGTTTACCGACTGCAATGATGTGGGATGTTTGTCATAAAAAAAATACCTATGCAAACAAATCGACTGCTTATATAGAATTTTTATTTTAAAAATTTATGGAATGTTACAATTAGTGTGCAATTAACTTTTTTTCTTTCTAATTCAGCGGGCCAACACTTAGATTATCGTCTTTAATGCCTTAAGGCAAGCGCTGCACCGACGTTACTCGCTTAGCACTAATCAGAAAGCGCATGTTGCTTGAAGATAAGCTAGGGACGCGGAGTAACAGTACCCCCGCAAAGCTCATTTTAGACCAGGACCCACGGTTTAAAATGGATTCCAAACCACTACATCCATGGCACCGCTAGGATTCGAACCCGAAGCCTGCGGTACGGAGCGCCAGATACTCGGCCAAGTGGTTTATTTTTCACACATAAAAATTGAACTATATTGAGTAAATGAAAAATTAATAAAAGTTGTAAGGAAAACATTTTTGATCAACGTAGTATTCAAATATTATTCATCTTAAAATAAGAAATTCTTAATTTTGAATTTAAAAATATGAAAAAAAAAAAAATCTTGATTTCTTTCACAGTAACATATAAATAAATGCCGTTTTTAAATAATTCGATTATAATTAAATTGCAACTCAAAACCAAATATTATAAAAAAGACGACATAGAACCTTTTTGGTTATACATCGTTCGAAAAATAAAATTCTTTAAAATAATTCATTATTGTTGCAGTAAAAAATCAAATATTTGTATTGTTACATTTTCTAGCGCTCTGGCGCTCGGTACCATAGGTTTCGTTTTCGAGTCCCGGCTGTGCCGCGGATGTTTGTAGTGGTTCGGAATCCACTTTAAACCGTAGATCCTGGTCTAACAGGATTGTAGAGCCTTGTGGGGTAGGGTTACTCGAGTCCGCAGCATCTCTTCAAGCTACATGCACCGCCTGGGTAGTGCTAAATGAGTAACAGCAGTGCAGCCCTTGCGTATGGCATAAAAGATTAACTGTCTGTATTACCAGCTGCATTAGAATAACAACATTTCAATAAAAATAATTAATTGCAATTAATTTTGGTAATATCTTTGAGGCAGAAACATTTATAAATCATGTATTATCACTGCAAACATTAAGTTATGTTGCTATGTCTAATCCTCAATGTCCTGCAGTGTGGGACGGACATCCTATCAGTAGTATACTCATGGATGTAGGGAAGGGGACAGCTTCTGTTGAGATGCAGCACCAGTAGGTAGAAGTCTGAGCTGGCTCAGAGTCGCTGAAGAAGCACGGAAATGCCTTCCGGGAGCTTCTTTAGGGGAAATACACCGCATCTGCGTATCGTATGGGAGAACAACCGAAAAAATCCCACCAGGTAGTCCGATACACGAGGCAAGATGCTGAACATCCCAAACGCCATCGAATCTCATCAGTTTTTAAACAGCTTGTAGAACAAAGCTGCCATTGAGTCACGAGTCGAGCACATTAATTTTATTCTAATATTTAATGAAAATATCCATGTATAACAAACATTTTTTTTTCTGATGCAGCTGACAAACATTTAGACAGCAGTCTTTGATGCTTTGAGGCAAGCGCTGCACAGACGTTACTCACTTTGCATTACCCAGGGGGCGCGTGTAACTTGAAGATAAGCCACGGACGCGGAGTAACACTGCCCCGCAACAATCTACGATCCTATTAGGACCGGGATCTACGGTTGAAAGTGGATCCCGAACCACTACAAACATCCATGGTACCACCGGGACTCGAACCCGAAGCCTGTGGCACGAGCGGCAGAGCGCTAGCCACTCGGTCATTCAGGCCCTCATTATAACAAACAAACAATATATGAAGATATTTTTGAAAAATGTCAAAACATCGGAAGCCGAATTTAAATGAGTAAAATTTTGTAAAAATTTGAGCTGCGCCGTTAGAAGGCATCTGAGTAGCCTAGAGATTCCAATGTGGTTCAATTCCCTCTAAGAAGACCCCCAGGGTGACATAATTAATATGGATTGCTTCAAGCAGAGTGCCCACATTATTTGGTAGAGTTATTTTGCCACTAGTGTTGCTAATGGAAAGCGTAAAACCGAATTTGGTGTCGAATATACATATAATGATAATTCTTCTTCTTCTTCATTTGGCCAACAGCCCCATAGTAGACAAGGCCATCGGCTTACTGGAAGATTTCGCGACAAAAAATGTTTTATTCTTTTAAGCAGGTAGGGTTTTCAGCCCTACGCTCTACCGTCATATTAAACCGGGTGCCTGATGGCCGCGTGGCTAGCGCTCTGGCGCTCGGTACCACAGGTTTCGGGTTCTGAAAACTTCGTGAGCATTATCAGTTCACTTAAAACGGCTCACCGACAACAAGCAGAGGACGTTTGTTGCTGTCTGGAAAGAATTCCTTGTATTTTCTATTCATATAAAAGAAAACTCGGAAAACTCCCATCTGTCAGTCAGAGTGTCTGTGCGAGACACATATATTGACGCAATCGCTATCTCATCTCATTTATAACTTTCTTCTCCATATCTCAACGCTTCAAATCGCCCTCCCCTCCCGCAACTGCATAGCCCTGAGGACGGACATCGGTGGACCTCATTTCACGGACAGCCCACTGACGGGGTGGACAGTGACTTTCGGCAGTATTTTTAGAGCTAAGTGACTCTCATTTGCTTGCCATAGATGAGAAAGCCAGGAAAACTTTCAGCAGGTAGCTTTTACCATCGATGCGAGACGCTTTAAACAACACTGTTATAACGAATCTACTCTTTTCTGAAAGCAATGACTGCAACGGACGTCGCTAGCAGATTCCGCATGCTACAATGAGCTCATTATGGCCCCATAATCTGTAGAAGACACTGTAACGAAATACACTTTTGTAAAGTATGCCCAGGGTGTTCGAACAATACCGCATAAACAGTGCAGTGACACAATCTACTCGTTGCAGTACATTAAAGTTGGCCGGGAAGGCACACCTGTTAGATTCATATGAAAACTCCCGTCAGACAGTCTGGTTGCTTTTACGACAGTCATGCTCTCACAATCGCTATTGAGTTTCTGAAACTTTTACCGACTAGTAATATGTTAGGTTTTATTTTTTTGCCCCCTTTTTTTTTGTTAGGAAAATAAAAAAAAAAAAAGAAAAAAAAGAAAAAAAAATTAAAAAATAAAAATATAAAAATAAAAAAGAACATCTGTTCTGAAATCGGCTTTTTTTTTTTTTTAGGATAATTATTTTGTTTTTCAGGATCTGCATAACCCTTTCGTCACTATGCTTTTATTTTCA